TTAATCCACAATTTTCTGGTGACTTAGGATGTTGAATCTTTTGTTTGAATTTTATCTTTTGAGAACTGTGTTTGTGCCAAGATCCATTTTAATTGTTTTTAATGTTAGATTTTTTAGTTCTTTTTATATTGTAGATACCAACCCTCTGTCTGAAGTTTAGCTAACAAACTTTTTCCCTACACTGTAGGTTCCATCTTCACTGAAATGCTGATGTCCTTTGCTGTACAGAAGCATATTAGTGTCATGTAGTTTCATGTGTCAATTTTTGGTCTCCTCTGCTATCAAGGTCATGTTCAGAAAGTCCTTTCCTATGCCTGCAAGTTCTGTGTTACTACTTTCTCCTTTAACAGAGTCAGGATATTGGATCTTATGTCAAAGTCCTTGATCCATTTGGAGGTGGGTTTGGTGCAGAGGAGAGGCAAGGATTCAGTCATTCTTCGACATGTAGCTATCAGAGCAGAACTGAAGAATGATGTGATACGTGACAAAAGGACATGTGAGGTCCTGAAGCATCAGACACATGTGTGGGATCACAGACATGTATGTGCTGAGCGGTGTGTGGCTCCTGTGCTCCTTGTAAGGAGCTCTCTCTTTTCTTTCTCTTTTGATTGGTTTTCTGTCACTGGCTCAAACCTCTTCATATTGGAATTGTGTTAATTTTTCAAACAGGAAACAAATAATCAGAAAAATAATAGAAAGGGGATCCAGATTGTCTACCCAGGCTCCTAATGGTACTGGGGGTTCATTTTCAGGGTCAGTGGCCTGAGAAAATCCAATGATCATGTGAGCCTCTAGCTGGCCAGATTCCCTAGAGAAAGCTCCCCACATCACCCTCACCTCATCAATATGGCAAGGGGAGGTTACAAAGGAGAAGAGCTGTGGCCAGGAGACCACACAGCACATGGGGTAATGCTCTAATGAAGGACACTGAGACAAGGTCCTCCTGAGTTGTCTGATGCACTCTTGATAGTCTTTCTGGTGTTTTCAAGGACTGTCAATCCATAGGGAATGGGTGGGGATGATGAAAAGATTGGCCATGGCCAGTGCTCCACCTCTGGAGCTCAGTGAGTTGGATTCCCAGCTGTCAGAGGCCAGCATCTCCCTAATTGGACACTGGAGGCTGTGAGTCCCAGCCCTGCCAGGTGCAGAGAATCCTCCCTAGCAGAGTGACCCCAAGGGTCGGCACCTCCACACATTTGTCCAGCTGGTGGGGACAAGGCAAGATGCAAGATGAAGAACACCAGCCCAGTCTCTTCACAAGACCCAGAGCATGCCACAGCCAGAACCTGCACACCTAGACCATCACAGGGACCCAGGTGTCCACCTCTTGCCACAGTCACCTCACTCCACTGCCCAGAAAGTTAAGGTTGACTTGAAGAAGGGACAGGACTCTGTTCAACAGAGTCTACGCTCAGCACCATGGGGCCCATGGGAGGATGAACACTAGTGGTGTCCTGGAGTAGACCTGGTTTGCACCTAGAGAAGGTAAGTTCAGTGTGTCACCGATTAGGGCTGTGATGAGTAGGAGAGAGACCAGAGAGAGAGTGGGAGGAGTGGAGGAACACATGACCGTGTGGAGAGAGAGCGGGGGGGCGGGGAGCACACAGTACCCTGTGTCAGCAAGTTGGTATTTCCTGTTCTTTTAAAAAATATTTTATTATTTTTTATTTCATGTGTGTGAGTATATTACTGCATGTGGATAACTGCACCCATGTCATACAATACCCACCGAGGTCAGAAGAGGGTATTGGATCCCCTCAAACTGGAGTTACAGAGGGTTTTTAGTCACCACATGGGTGCTGAGAACTGAACCAGGATCCTCTGCAAGAGCAGCCAGTACTCTTAACCACTGAGCCATCTCTCCAGACCCAGTATTTCCTGTTCTTATCAATCCTGGCCTTGGTCCTGGTCAGAATGAGCAATGCTGGGGGAGTCCACACTGACTGTACCTGCTGAATACTAATTCTAATTCTGCAGACAGGTGAACGGAAGCTCTTTATCCAACCTGCTCACAGAAGACAATGATGGAGCTGGCCCAGGAGGGCCAAGCTAAGGTGAGTACAGTCACTGTCACCTGCTCTCCCACAGCAGAGCACACGCCTCAGCCTTGAAGTTCATTCTAGAAGTGTCATTAGACTAGCTGGGTGTCCTCTGCAAGCTGGAGATCATGCATGTCCTTGTTCATTGAGAAGCAAAGGACCAGCCTTCCTGTGTAGATTGTGCTTATCTCTAAGGAAGCCTGTGTGCTCAGTACTGTGACCCCCAGGGGTTGTGTCAACATGAGCACAAGGCCACTCTATGCGTGTGTTGAGCTTGCAGTAGGGAGGTTGGCTAGCTAGTGCATGGGGGGGGGTTCAGATGGGCCTTTCCTGGCCACATACATGTCTTTCCTGTGTGAGGGTGAACTGTGAGAGTAGATGGCACAACAGTCCACTCACAGGTTGACCAGAGCACAACCCTGAGACCCTACGATGATGGCGATGGCCCTTCTCCCCCAACACACCCCGATTCTTCCTGAGCTCCTCAACATAGCAACCTCCATGTCCCTCCTGGGGACTAACAGCAAGATGAGCCTGACTCAGGACTTTCCTGTGTTTTCAGTGCCATGATCACCGACAAAGTGACCAGGAACGGTCTAAAGGCCATTCGGTGATGAGGCCAGCTCTGTCTAGTTTTCAAATAGGAAATAGCAAAATCTTTGAAGTCCTCCAAGCCTAAGACAGAGTACAGAGCACAGCTAGCAGTGGGCTCCAAATGGAGAGCTACAAGCATGTCCCACATGTGTCTAAGACCCAGGCTGCTGTTTTGGACTATCTCCTTGTCCAAATCAATTGTATAGCAAGATATTAATAGGCTATTAATTGACAGGATGGACAGTGTGGTACGTCCTCAGAAGAGTGAGTGAGTTCCGTCCTCAGAGTGAGTGAGTTCCGTCCTCAGAGTGAGTGGGTTCGGTCCTCAGAGTGAGTGGGTTCCATCCTCAGAGTGAGTGGTACGGCAGGGGACAGACGACAGCATGCCCTCCTCTGGGTAGGGCTGCTCTCTGCTCTTTCCAGCCTGGAAATGGAGGGGGTCACGCAGCTCAGTTTGTGGAAGGGTACGGGGTCCTCATGAACATGTGGATTAGTGAGATGAGACGTGTGTTGTGCGGGAGGACTCAGGAGACAGCGCTACCCAGGGCACTGCTCAGGAGCATCCCGTGGAGATGGGAGGACAGGGCCCAGAGGCAGGTGTGGGGACACGAAAGGCTGGCTGTGTCTTGAGAGCCACTCAGCTTGGATTGCTTCTCTGCATCTTCAGAGTATAGGGAGGGCTTTACGTAACTCAGAGAAAATACTTCCTTTCAGCCACGTGGGCTCTTCTGGAAGGAGAACCAAGGAGGTGAGGGTCACTGATGTGTTTCATCGCTTCGTAGGATACGTGACTGTGGGGGTGAAGCCTGCTGCCTCTCTGCCCCCACTGCCCTCTCTGTACCTGTCCCCATTCATGGCCTTTCCAGTCCACAGAAATGGAAACCTCTCACTGGTGCCCTTGTGGGAGTTTGTGCTGGTGGGATTTGGGGGCAGTGCAGAGACTCAGGCCCTGCTCTTTGCTGTCTTCCTGGCCCTGTATGTGGTGACCATCCTGGGAAACCTGACCATGATCATGGTTATCACCCTGGATGCCCGCCTGCACTCCCCCATGTACTTCTTCCTCAAGAACCTGTCCTTTGTTGACCTCTGCTACTCCTCTACCATTTATCTCTAAGGAAGCCTGTGTGCTCAGTACTGTGACCCCCAGGGGTTGTGTCAACATGAGCACAAGGCCACTCTATGCGTGTGTTGAGCTTGCAGTAGGGAGGTTGGCTAGCTAGTGCATGGGGGGGGGTTCAGATGGGCCTTTCCTGGCCACATACATGTCTTTCCTGTGTGAGGGTGAACTGTGAGAGTAGATGGCACAACAGTCCACTCACAGGTTGACCAGAGCACAACCCTGAGACCCTACGATGATGGCGATGGCCCTTCTCCCCCAACACACCCCGATTCTTCCTGAGCTCCTCAACATAGCAACCTCCATGTCCCTCCTGGGGACTAACAGCAAGATGAGCCTGACTCAGGACTTTCCTGTGTTTTCAGTGCCATGATCACCGACAAAGTGACCAGGAACGGTCTAAAGGCCATTCGGTGATGAGGCCAGCTCTGTCTAGTTTTCAAATAGGAAATAGCAAAATCTTTGAAGTCCTCCAAGCCTAAGACAGAGTACAGAGCACAGCTAGCAGTGGGCTCCAAATGGAGAGCTACAAGCATGTCCCACATGTGTCTAAGACCCAGGCTGCTGTTTTGGACTATCTCCTTGTCCAAATCAATTGTATAGCAAGATATTAATAGGCTATTAATTGACAGGATGGACAGTGTGGTACGTCCTCAGAAGAGTGAGTGAGTTCCGTCCTCAGAGTGAGTGAGTTCCGTCCTCAGAGTGAGTGGGTTCGGTCCTCAGAGTGAGTGGGTTCCATCCTCAGAGTGAGTGGTACGGCAGGGGACAGACGACAGCATGCCCTCCTCTGGGTAGGGCTGCTCTCTGCTCTTTCCAGCCTGGAAATGGAGGGGGTCACGCAGCTCAGTTTGTGGAAGGGTACGGGGTCCTCATGAACATGTGGATTAGTGAGATGAGACGTGTGTTGTGCGGGAGGACTCAGGAGACAGCGCTACCCAGGGCACTGCTCAGGAGCATCCCGTGGAGATGGGAGGACAGGGCCCAGAGGCAGGTGTGGGGACACGAAAGGCTGGCTGTGTCTTGAGAGCCACTCAGCTTGGATTGCTTCTCTGCATCTTCAGAGTATAGGGAGGGCTTTACGTAACTCAGAGAAAATACTTCCTTTCAGCCACGTGGGCTCTTCTGGAAGGAGAACCAAGGAGGTGAGGGTCACTGATGTGTTTCATCGCTTCGTAGGATACGTGACTGTGGGGGTGAAGCCTGCTGCCTCTCTGCCCCCACTGCCCTCTCTGTACCTGTCCCCATTCATGGCCTTTCCAGTCCACAGAAATGGAAACCTCTCACTGGTGCCCTTGTGGGAGTTTGTGCTGGTGGGATTTGGGGGCAGTGCAGAGACTCAGGCCCTGCTCTTTGCTGTCTTCCTGGCCCTGTATGTGGTGACCATCCTGGGAAACCTGACCATGATCGTGGTCATCACCCTGGATGCCCGCCTGCACTCCCCCATGTACTTCTTCCTCAAGAACCTGTCCTTTGTTGACCTCTGCTACTCCTCTACCATTGCCCCCAAAGCCCTGGCCAATTTCTTTTCTTCCAAGGTCATCAGCTTTGCAGGCTGTGCCACTCAGTTGTTTTTCTTCTCCTTTTTGGGAACAAGTGAGGCTTTACTCCTAGCTGTGATGGCCTATGACCGCTTCATGGCCATCTGCAGTCCTCTACGTTACCCCGTGACCATGTCCCCCACAGTCTGTGCCTGCCTTGTGCTGGGTGCCTACTGTGGAGGCTGCCTGAACTCCGTCGTGGAGACCAGCCTCACTTTCCAGCTGCCCTTCTGCAGCTCCAACCTCATTGAGCATTTCTTCTGTGACGTGCCCCCCCTGCTCCAGCTCGCCTGTGCCAGCACGTTTGTCAATGAGCTGGTCATGTTCGCCATCTGTGGTTTCATCCTAATGGGGGCAATGTTAGCAATCCTCATCTCCTATGGCTACATCACCGTGACCATTCTCAGCATGCACTCGGGATCTGGGCGGCACAAGGTCTTCTCCACCTGTGGCTCCCACCTGACAGCCGTGTCCTTGTTTTATGGAACTGGTATTGCTATATACGGCCAGCCAGGAGCTGTAGCGTCCATAGAGCAGGGCAAGGTGGTCTCTGTCTTCTACACCCTGGTCATCCCCATGCTCAACCCCCTCATCTACAGTCTGCGGAACAAGGATGTGAAGGATGCCCTGAGGAGGCTGGGGAGAGACGCGGCCTTGTGAAGGATGGTGTCCAGTGAGGGACAGTCTCGTTGGATGGAGGGAAGCTCTGTGGCAGCCACTTCTCACCACTAGGACGGTTTGTGTTTGCATCTTCCTTCTTGTGTGCTGGGTCTCCTCAGGGACACTTCCTGTGTGCTGGGTCTCCTCAGGGACACTTCCTGTGTGCTGGGTTTTCTTTCTTCACATCTTGTTTCTTACGTCCTTCTATCACCTTGTATTCTAGGAACAGCAAAGTCTCGCAGGACAGACACCCTTAGATTAGGGCAATTATCCATGAGGATGAGGCTGACCCTTGGAGCAGAAGTAATAGTCTCCTGAGAACAAGCTTTTCCTTTAAGCAATAAGGACTTCCTGAGGCGTCTGGCAAACTAGAGCTGAGAACTAGACACGAGACGCCAGCTGACAGGCTGCCCATCGGGCCTTCTTGCCCCTTGTCTTGGGTCTTCTCCCATTGCCATTTAAATCTCACGCCACTACCCTGTGAATGGACCCAGCTCATGGGACCTTGTTATCCACTCCGCTGAAAGTAGCCACATTTATCTAACTTCCCTTTGCACTAGACATTTCTGAGCCCCATAAATGGTGTATTGGGACAGGTGGCTAAATCTAGCCTATTGGGGCTGCTGCAGCTGGGCTTCTGCCCCAAAATGACTGTTACCTTGTGAACTAAAAGGAATTTGAACTAATTTTATAAATAAGTGGACCCTCACTTATTTTGTAAGTCAATTTGAACTGAATCCTTTTGGGGGAGACTTATCATGTAAGCACCAAATAACACATATCCAAAGACAACTTACAGAAATATATGTACTTAAGTTTAGCTTCAGGATGAAAACTTAGTCACAGCACTATCACAGAAAAACAAATTTACCAACTTCAAAAATAATATTGATCGCAGGTCTGTAGTAATGACGGCCTGTTTATTTGCTTCATTTCATTCTAACACATCTGTTGCTATTGTTGTATGTCTTAAGTAAACCTCACTAACATTAGATTTTACAATGTTTTTCTTATGAAATTTTTTAGTTCCAAGTCAGATTAAAAATTAATTCTTGCATGTCTGTACTTAGGATGGGTTTGAAACAGGAATGCTGAATAACTGATTTTCTTAGAAGAATCAGCAGAAGAAAAAGAAAAAGCCTAGATAGACTGAGAGAGGAAAACTATAGTATAATCTCACACAAATATGCATACACAACAAGACCAAGTCAGAGACACAGACAACGGCTAAACCAAAAAGGGAACAACACATATGAATTACGTAAGAATTGGCCCAAAGTTTCCCCATCCACCCAGCTCCCAGTGCCAACAGGTAAGGACTTCCCAGGCCCCCTCCCATCACACAGCTCCTGGCACCAACAGATGAGGGTCCTCAGAACCCAACACTTGACCCAAGTTTCCCCCTTCTTCCCAGCTTCCATTCCGTCAAGTAAGGGATCCCAAGATCCTGAACCCCTGGCCCACATTTCCCCAATTCCCTGGCTCCAGCACTGAGAGGTAAGCAGTTTCCAGACCATCAGCCTCAGGCCCACAATCCCACTCAACCAACTCCAGATACATGAACCAGCACAAAAACAAAGAACGTGAAAATCCAAGAGGACAGGCCTCCTACAAGAATTACTGAAACAAAGCAAAGAATGAAGGAAGTCAGCCCGAGGTGTGAAAACAGGGTCCAGCAAACAGAGCTGATGAAGGAAGTCAGCCCGAGGAGTGAAAACAGGGTCCCGCAAACAGAGCTGATGAAGGAAGTCAGCCCGAGGTGTGAAAACAGGGTCCAGCAAACAGAGCTGATGAAGGAAGTCAGCCCGAGGTGTGAAAACAGGGTCCAGCAAACAGAGCTGATGAAGGAAGTCAGCCCGAGGTGTGAAAACAGGGTCCCGCAAACAGAGCTGATGAAGGAAACCAAACTGAAATGATGCTGGAAATGAAAACTCCATAAGCTGAAGAATGTGTGAAATCAACAGTTATAAACAAAGTAACATGAAACCAAAAGAACATAGAACATGATTCCACGACATCAGCACTCAGTAAAAACAAGGTAGAAAATTAGACCTCAAAGACAGTAGCTCAGCCCAGACACTGAGAGGAGCCCAGGGAAGGGGAAAAGCTCAAAAGATGGAGCTTGCTGTGTAGACTCAGGTTAAAATATCTCCCTGCTTTTAAAAAAGTATTTTAGGGGCTGGAGAGATGGCACAGCAGTTAAGAACACTGACTGTTCTTGCAGAAGACCCAGGTTTGAATCCCAGCACCCACATGGCAGCTAACAACTGTCTGTAACTCCAATTCCAGGGGATCCGACAGCCTCTTCTGTCATCCACGGGCATTGCATGACATGGGTGCACTTACCTACATGCAGGCAATACACACAGACACATAAAATATTTTATATGTGATTTTCTTTTATGTGTATGCGTGTATTGCCTACATGTATATAAGTGCACCCATGTCCTGCAATGCTGGTGCAAGTCAGAAGTTGTCAGATCCCCTGGAACAGGAGTTATGGATGGTTGTTAACCACGATGTGGGTGCTAGGAATTGAACTCAGGTCCTCTGCAAGAGCAGTCAGTGTTCTTAACTGCTATGCCATCTCTGAAGCCCCATCTCTTCCTGTTTTAAGATCTAATTAGAGAGAAAGGGAGAGAGGAAATAATTAGGAAAAGTCAGGAAATTCTGAATTGTAGACAAACTGGGTGATCTGAAATTCTTTAACAAATCCCATGGGCTCTTGATATGATCAGAAAACCCCATAACCCCATAGTAAACGTTCCCAGCACAGCTGTCCAGGCATGACACCAGGCCCTCTTCTCCTGCTAGGCTGTCTTATAAGAAGTCACAGCAACTTTTTCCATGTGCCACTGGGAAATGCTCAAGAGGAGATTGGAAGGGGAAGGAGATGAAGAAGGATGACTAAGACAGGCCAGAAAGCCAGGACAGAGCAGGCGAGAAAAGCCAGATCACCAGGGTCTCTCTGTAGCTCTGACTTGGCATTTGGTGCTATTGTTCTTGTCAACTAGCAATTCCGCCATTTCTTATCTTAAATTCCAGCAAAACTGGGCTGCTTACTCGCTGCCTTTAGCTCTACTTCCACACTTGAACTTTGGCATGCAAAAATAAAGGCACAAACAAAAAGAACAAACCAGTTTAGGAATTTCAGACTTCCCCTATCTTTGCCAAATATTTGCACATTGAACTACCATAGCTACCAAACACGAAACCAGCTGGAGACCCAAACAGCAGCTTTGCTCTAGTTCCTCCTCTGCTGCATTTCCGTTTCCTGCATCAGTGTCTTATTTCTTTCCTAAATCTTCGCCTTCAACACTAGCTGGTAGGATTTGTTTTCTATTGAATTGTCTACTTCATAGTGCAGAGACCTGCTTGGCCTCACCCTGGGTCACCCCCCCCACACACACACACAGTGTCTCAGGTAAATGGTGCACATTTGTTAGAATGCTAAGGGGCTTTCTCCAACCCAGGAATGGGTGTATTGTACTGAGCTTCCCTAGAGGCCACTGCACATCAGGGGGAGTTCCCCAACAGCTCCACCCTTTGGAGTATCTCCCTCCTCTTCAGAATCTTTTGGATTGGGAACTAAAATGATTTCTAAACTAAACGGGGCAAGCTTGCAATTGGCAGAAGAGAAGGAGGCAGGAGAACAGAATTAGGCACTAGAACAGTAGCGGGAGACAAAAGCCGAACGCTCTGACTCCTGCTCTGAAGCATGTGAGAGGGTGTCCACCCTCTAGCTCAGAAGAGACCAGCAGACTGTACCCAATCCAGAGGCGGGATCTGGGCCCCAGAGAACTCTTCAACATCCACTTGAGGAAGCTAAACAGATGGCCTGGTACAGAGGGCCTGTGCTGGGATGGGGTGCTGACCCAGGTGATGGCTCTGGGGAAAGTGGATTGTCTTCAGGTCCCATGCTGAAATGACAAATTGTCACTATAAAACTCAACTCTATTCCCAAGGAAATAAAAGATAGTTTGTCTTAAATATTGAGTGACTAAGGCTCAGGGAAGAAGTGAGGGATAAGTACTTATCGATGGATTAAGATAAAATAAGCTCAAGATAATTCTGGCTCTCGATTTGTATCATTCCAACTCTCAATAGTAACAGGAGCTCTAACCAGGGAACCAGTCTGCAGATTCTCCCTCATTGGCATGCTTTTTGGTCCTTAGGGGACATGGGGATAGCAGTGGTTTTTCTGGTTGGCTTCTATGAATACAATGTCCAGGTCCCTGCATGTCATAGCAACTGTCAGGGTCTGGTTCCATCGAAGGCTGGGTACCATCACACTGTGTGTCTACAACACCTTCACCAACTATCTGGTGATGAACACTTGGGATGCTTCTGCCTCCTGGCTATTGTTAATAATGCTGGTGTGAACAAGGGACCTACCTGTCTCTTCGCAACCTATGTAAATACTATGTTGCCCATATCCAAAGGCAGCACGAAGAAAATTTGGATGTCGACCCGGTGTCTGATTGCTTGGTCATAGGGTAATTCTTTTAATGTTTAATTTCTAAGGAATCTACGCTCATCTTTCCAAACTAGTCATCCTTCTTTCAGTCCAACAGTGTCTGTCTGTCCTTCCAGTAGCCCCACATCACGTGAACATGATCTGTGAATTTTCATTTGCATTTCATAGTGGAAGTGAGGTGCATCTCACTCTGGTTTTGATTTGTATTTCCACGGTGATTGTGATGTTTGACATCTTCTCATGTTTATGGTCATTTGTGTATCGTTGAAGGAGAAACATCTATTCAAGTCCTTCATTTATGATTTATTGGAATTGCTTTATGTTGATTTATGCGTTTATTTTTTATTTTTAAGAAGAAGCATTTCATTACAGCTTTAACGTATTCAGTAACACATTCCAGAGCAAGGATACATCTCTTTCAAAAGTGGCTATAAAACTTTTAGGTTCACAGTTGAATTAATACAGTTATACAATATTGAACTCAGCATAAACCCTGTAAGACATAAAATTGAATGAGTTTTTAACCTTGAAAAAAGATCTCCATTTCATATTAAAATATGCTGTTTCTTACAGACTCATTGTTTTTGCTAATAACACTTAGATGTTGGTGCATGCATCTCTAATCAATATGTATCTGATTATTATTAGTCATAGTCGGTTGCACTTGGATCCTTGGCACCTGTGTATGGATATAAAGTCATCGGGTAGATTTCAATGGTAATGTTTATCAACTCTACTAATTAACATGATGTAAATTTTTATGCTTCCTCCTCAAATATAATTCATTTTCTTAAATTTGTTTGTGTGTGTGTGTGTGTGTGTGTGTGTGTATATCACACAGAACATCCCAAACCATCTTGTTCAATTATACACCCACTTCCCAGGTGGCGCCCTCCCATACCCTCACCTCCACGATAGCCCTTATACTCTGATATCCCTGCTACTGTCTGCTGCATTGTCAGCACCCCCCCACTACTTGCCCTTCTGGTGAATCTAGTCAGCCTACCTAGAGGTCTTTGTTTTAGGAGGGTCAGCTGTTCATCATCTAGCAGCAATCAGTTGTCAATATTCCTTTAGATAAGACTGGGGTCTGCTGTTCATTTTCCCAGTTCTATGCAGGGATTTTGTCTACCTGAGTTTGCATGTGGTTTGTGTAGTCTGACACCATTGCCATATAATCATATGAGCAGGTTCCCAGGAGCTTGTGGGACTCTGTTTCCATATGGTCTTGTACCTCCTCCCTGGCTCTTACAATCTTTCCACAACAATCAATTTTAAAGGAGTTGATGTAGTTGAAAATATGCTGGAGGAGAAGAGGCACAAACTCTTAAGGCCATTTGAGGGTCTGTTCCTGAGGGGTCAGATGGGCTTGGGAGGAGCCCCTGGGTCCTTTCTTTTACCAGTTCCATCTATGTGAAGATAACTCAAAGGTCCTGCTCAACTGCAACGGACCAGCCCAGACCGGAGTAGTTCAGTCTGACGGGAACAGGGTCCTCGAGAGAGTGGGCAAGGATTTGGCGAGTGACAAACAGACAGACACACAAGAGCTTGGTGAAGGTCTGAGTGTATTTTTGCAGCTGCAAGGTTTGAAATATATACAGCAAAGATTGCAAAAGTTCATCATCAGCATGACTGTTCTGTAATTAGTCACTTCCTAAGATTTTCAGTAAAAGTGAAACAATTTTGCCAACCATCATGTATAGCCAAAACACATTTCTTTATCTTATCAACCTGGTACCAGTCAGCAAATTCTTGCTTTATGATACTGTGATTTCTACTACCTGCTTTTATTACACACTCAGAACTCTGCTTAGTTTTGTGATTTCATGTCAGGATGAAATTTCAGGTCAATTATGAAATAAGAACATTTAAGGAATTATCACACATAAACAATAAAATAAGACATCTTTCTCAAATGACTTGTAACATTTGACAGACCCCAGATACTAGGATATAAAATATAACATTTCCAGTTGGTATATACTAATCACAACATTATGAAACCATCTTTCCCAGCTATTTTTCCAATCCTTAACTACAGTCTGTAGTTGCCTTTTAATGCTCTCTTGTCGATCTTTTATCAAAAGACACCAAGGTGGTCTTGATCTTGCCTATTTATCCATGAATTGTAATGAATACCAAGACACCCTTCTTCTATCTATATGGCTTCTACCCATCTATGTCTCTCTTCTAGAAATCCATTATTCCCTGGACTTTCCAGCATTAATTCTGCTTCACTACTTGCTGCATCTAAAATGGCTTTCATTAACAGTGATGCATCTTGAGGCAAAGTTGTCTCAGGTGATTGAGTTCCTGAGAACTCTTCCTGCATACTAGGATAGTTAAAAGATTTCAATAAAGGCAGTGACAGCAGTGTCAAGGACACCAGGTGCTTTCTGGGCCCCTGAAAGCCCATGATACAGTGACAGTCAGAAAGATAATAGCAAGTAAAAGCATGCCAAGTACACTGCATGTTTTTTAGCACAGCCAACTCCAAGAGGCAACCTTCCTTGAAGTTCCAGCCTCAACCCATGGAGGATCTCACACGGGCTTCATTGGAGATGGTGTGACACTCAACCATGGCTGGCTTCCCTTGAAGCATGGAGGAAATGTTTCCCCTGTGTTGACCCTCCTCTTTGTAGACTGGACACTGGTTCAAGTCCATCTTGTGGGGTCTCCTCAGCCTCCTTGATCAAGAGGACAGGTGACCCACCACAATTACAGGACATTTTGAGAGATGCTCTTAGGCCCCTGGAACTAGTCAACCTAAGAGTGCAACGAGCAAAAGCTGTCCTTTATGTCCCTCTGACCAAATTAGTATAGGC